AATTAGGACTGGGACTGCTCTCTCCTAGAAGTCACCCACCCTCCCCACCAGAATCCCTCATGACAGAGGCCATACTTACTGTTCCAGCCAGGATATCGTGGGGACAGCAATCCAGGAGGTGGCTCTTGCAAACACGATCGTCTGTAAACTTCACCCTTTGTCTGGTTTCATCTCCTGCAATTCATGTGTGGTTTAAATAAGGAGACATTAGAACACCAAGGGAACGCAGGCGTGGGCACGAGCATTTCACCTCAAAATGCAGATTAAAATACTTGGTGCTCCTGCTCCCCAAATTTACTCAAAAAAAAAAAAAGAAAACAAACAAACCAAAAACCAACCAACCAAACCAGCTTAGAGGGCAACAGAATATTCTGGAACACTTATAATTGGCAACAAACACTATTTTAGCATTTATTCATCCAGGACACCATGTTAAACACAGTGCTGGCGAGCCAAGCAACGTCCAAGGCCTGTCATCCATATAAAGAGGCAGCACAGCCAGAAGAGAGAAAAGGAGACAGACAGGCTGGCTCCCAGCCATAAACTGCTATTTTTTTTCCACCCATTTTTTTGTTTTGTTCTGTTTTACTGTGAGGAAGGGGCAGGAGATACCAAACCCCACGGGTCAGCAAACAGGGCTGTGCTGGGCAGTTTTTACAGGCAGCTGCTCTTTGCTCACATGGTAACTGAGCCACCAGTCCTTCTGGCGTGGAACCCAACTACGCCGTGTGTGCTCTTCCCAGGCCGTGCAAAGGTGGTCCTGGCCTGGGACACACCCACCCTCAGCCCACCCTCAGAGGACATTTTACACTCAGGAGCCACTTAAAACGACACAATATCAGAAAAGCAAAAAAAAAAAATTAAAAATAATAATAATAGGAAAAAAAAAAAAGAAACAAAGTTAGTCAATACACACTGCGAGCTCCAACACATACTATACCCATCTGCATTCTTCAAGACCTCAGCTGCAGAATTTTATGCCCATTGTTGAAAAGTTTTAAAGGAAAAGCTTTCTTGCCCACACCTGCAGTAAGGAAGTCAGGGGAATGATACATAAAAGTAAAGGCAAAGTGGCAATGGTATGTGACAATTTTAAAGCTCATCTGTGCATATGACACAGGTATGTGTAATACTAAAGTATGGGAATAGTAAAGTATTAGGATTCACAAGCATCCAGGAATAATGTTGTGTCTACTGAATTTTTTTTTTTAAATTTTTTTTTTCTTTCTAAGCTACACTTTTAAAGTTACTTGTGAAAAAAAAGCAAACACTTTTTTTTTTTTGTTATAACAGCTTTAAAAATTGGTTGTGACTCACGGCTCGATGAACATGAGGCTTTTCTGCAACTCCCTTGCAGATTGATGTAGGCAGGCAAAGATACACTGAACCTTTATAAATAAAATAGAGGGGCCACAATTGTTCAGTTTGTATGAAATAAAAATATGGGAAGCAATTCAATAGCAACTCAATACACAGAGAAAAGAAAAGCACTTATTCACTTACGAAACAAAGTGCAAAGTGCCTGGACAGCCCTGCTAACGTGCCAAAGGGGATTTAAGTACCCAGCGAGTCGCAGAAGGGAGAACACAAACCGCAGCGGGGCCGTATTTTGCACGGGCTGTCACATTTCTGGTGCCGGACCGCACCCGGCGCTGCAGGCACACCTACCTAGTGCCTCTGGATGCGCGGGCACGGAGCCGGCCCTGGGCCTGCCCGCTCGGCCGGGCCCGTGGCGGCGGGGCTGGGCCGCGCCGGGCGCTCCCTGGGGCCGGGGCGCGGCGGGACCCCCATGCCGGGCAGGCCCGGGCCCTCCCCGCCGCCACGGGGCTGGGGCCGGGCGGGCGGGGGCGGATCGCGCCGCAGGTCCGGAGCGAGCGGAGGCAGCGGCCGGGCCGGGCCGGGCCCCGCGCGCTGAGGCGGCCGCCGAGGCCGCGGCGTTTCCTGCAGGCCCCGCCCGCCCCTACTCACCGTCCCGGGCCGTGCCCATGAGCTGGTCCAGCAGGGCCCGCATCTGCGCCTGGGCCGACATGGCGGGGCCGGGCCGGGGGCGGCGGCTCCGACCGGGCGGGGCAGAGACCGGCACCGAGCGCGGTCCCGGGGCCTGGGGCGGCGGCGGCTCCGCGGCGGCGGTGGCGGCAGGCGCTGGGCGGAAGCGGCCACGCCCTGCGCCGCGCGGCACCACGGGAATGGTAGTCCGCCGGGGGCGGGGCAATGGGCGGAGCCGGAGGGAAGGGGAGGGCGGGGCCGGAAGGAGGGGGTGGAGTGAGGGGGCGGGGTCGAAATGAGGGGGCGGTGCTGACGTGAGGGGCGGGGCCGAAGGGGCAGGGAATGGAGGTGGGGCGGGCGGAGGGGCGTGGCTCTGACAGGGGGCGGGACAGATCCCGGGGCGGGGCCTGTCGAGGGGGCGGGGCTGAGCGGGGACACTCACGGGCTCCCCATCCCGGATCCGCCCCGTCGGGATCGGGCCCGCCATCGGCGCTGCCCCGGAATCTGCCCCGGGGCCTGCCCTGGGGCTGTGCGGGTGTGGTGGGCACAGTAGCCGGGCTGCGGCGAGACGGCGAGGCTAGGCTGCCCTGGCTACCGTCCGTCCCCATGGCACTGCGACAGCGGGGGACCACCGGGGGGAAGGTGGGGAGGGGGAGTGGGGGGTTAGGAAAGCCCTTGCTGGGGGTTGGGGGTGATGGGATGCATGGTCAGGGCAGGCGGGAGGCAGAATGGATGCACGGACAAGGGGATACAGTGATGAGGGGATGAGGACAGGACAGCTCAGCCCGGGACAGGACAGCCCAGCACAGGACAGGACAGCCCAGGACTTCTCCCCTAGCTGCGGGAGGAGGATAAGGCCGTGGTTTCGCAGCGGAACTTGGGCTGTTGCGGAGCTTTGCCGGGCTCTTGGGTGCCCTGTCCAGCTTTCTGAGCTCCAGCTGCAGCTCCCAACACCCCGCGGGTTTCACCTCCGTTCCTTCACCGCGAGCTCCCAGCCCCAGCCACCCTACGGATGCTCCCTCCCCCCGCACCTTTGTGCTACCGCAGGGCTACAAAGGCAGCGAGGGTTGGTGCTGGAGCCCTGCCTTACAGGCCTCTCTGTTCTGCCATAATCTTGCCTGTTTTCCCCCATCTTAAAGCTTCAAAGCTCCATTGGCTCTAAGGCATCAGCAGCATGAGCCAGCCCCAAGTAGGGGGTGCAGGATCAACCCTCGAGTAAGGGCTGCGAACACCCTGCAGGCAGGAGACCCCTTTCCCTGTGCAATGGGAGCTCCTTATGCCTGGCCCTGGCAAAGCCTGGAGCAGGGATGGCCACCCTGGGCCCTCAGATGGGTGTAAAGCCACGTGCCCAAACCTGCTGCAGGGGCAGTGGCATTGCCTGTCCCTCTGGCTCGCCCCAGGAACGGTCCTGCTGAGCCTTGGGTGCTCCCTAAATTTGTGTCATTCCATTCCTTCCCACAGAGGGGAACGGACACTCCCAACTCTGTAAGCCAAGCCTTGTGCTCCCCATGTCCTGCCCTACCCTGGAGCCCCTCGCCAGCACAGCCAGACCCTTCCCACCCAGTCAAAGGGCTGGTGCAGCCCTTACCTCCAAGCTAGGCTGAGCTGGAGGCTCTGTGAGCTCTACTCAGCTCCTGCACGGCAGGAAGACCGTCTGGGGCAGCAGTGGCTGGGGACACGGGAGGAAGCCCCCCTTCCCTGTGGACCCCGGCGGCGGGATCAGGCTCCCCAGGGTTGCAGCCGATGGCCACGTCAAGCCGCGCCAGGCGGGTGGGTGACAATGGGTGACATCAGGGAGCGGCCAGGAGGGTGCCCGTGGCTTATCAGCCGTGTTTGCCCAGCGGTGCCGGGGCGGGATGGCTGATGGCTGATGGCTGCTCCCGCCCGGCTCTGCCAGGAGGAGTGTTTGGAGAGAGGAGAGACAGCTCTGCGGAGCCGGTGCCCAGCTCTGCTCCCGTAGGGTGTCCCGAGGCTGCCGGCCAGGGGAGGGGGTGGGTACAGCCACGGCACTCCCCTTACCAGTGCTGCACCGTGCCAGGGGCTGGGGACCCGCCCTCGGCACCGGGGGACAGCTCAGCACAGGGTGCTCGGGGCAGGGGGCAGGAAGGGCTCCGAGGGAGCTGTGGTCACCCCAAGAACAGCAGAGCAGGGCAGCTCTGTGGCAGGGCTGTGCCTGTCCCCAACCCCCATGGCCTTTGTCCTCACTCCCTGTGTGTCCCCACCACTGGTGGCAGAGTCCAGGCACTGTGTCAGGGCCATCCTGTGCCCTCCAGCTGTCATGGGCAGGCTGTCCTGTGTCCTCTGGCTATCCTGTGCCCCCGGATACCCTGCATCCCCCAGCTGTCCATGTCCCCTGGCTGTGTTCTGTGCTGCCCCGACAGCCCTGCTGGCACATCCCGCTGCCAAAGCAAAACCAGGACCTCTGGCACAGCCCCTTTATGATCTGAGCTGATCCCCATCGTCACCATCCTCAGCCCTTCAGGTGCTGTGTGGGCCAGCAGGGCCACAGGCCATAAGCAGAGACGTCCCCAGTGACAGCACTGCCATCCAGGTGCTGTGGGGCTGGCCCAGCCATTCTCCACACAGCATGTCCACCTTTGTATGCACAGGTTCCAAAACCGCTCCCGAGGCTGGTCAGGGAGCCACCTCAGGGGGGGCACAAGGATGGAGGTGGGGGTTCTGAACCAGCAGCACCTGGGGGGACCCCACAGAGAGGCTTTGCCCACTGCAGTGGCAGCCCCTGTTTGCAGAGGCATCGCTCCATACACAGTATGTTCTTCAGAACATCCCTACTCCAGGAGTCAAAATAGCATGAAATTTAATTTTACGCCTATTTGACAAAGCTTGATTTCGCCTCCAATCAGCGGGGAGATAAGAGCCCTCGGCACAAGTGTGCGGGCAGTTTGGCAGCTGGGGCTGCCGATTTAATAGGTGAATTTACAGGGACAACACTTGAAAATCCCCTGGCTAGTGAACCATTAAGGTGAGCCCTGCCTTCCGTCCCCGCGTCCCTCCCCGCGCCGCTCTCCCGTTGCTGGGTGCTAAAGCAAACCCCGGCTTTGTTTACCGAGTCTACTATTACAATACGGCTACCAAATATTTGCCAGCCGCCAGCTCCCGCTCCGCTATAAATACTTCAGGCCCAGGTGGAGGGACGGGCAGGGGGAGCGGTGCGGGAGCCTTTGCATGGCCGGGCAGCAGCGCCAAGGTGAGTGTGAGCCGCGGCCCCCCGGGCAATGCCCTCCGGCACCGCGGTGCTTCCCCGGCTGAGGGGGGCAGTGGGACGGCCCGGTTCCGTCGCTGGGGTGGCCCCACTCTGCTCTCCCCACAGCCCGGAGAGCGCCTCGGGTGTCTGAGCCCCCCCACAACCCACCCCGGGGCAGCACAGAGGCAGGGTCGGGGGTCCTGCGGTGGGGACAGCACAAAGAGGGGTGCATGGTGACTCCAGAGATGGCAAGGACAATCTCCTAGGCTGGGTATACGGCCCAGCAGCACCTCTGGAGTGGCTGGAGCAGGATTGGTCCCCCAGGATTTGTGCCCTGCCGGGGCTGGGGCTGGGGTGATGGCAGTGCCAGGCTGGTGACCAGGGGTGCCCTGCAACAAGGTAGGGCTGGGGCTACTGCTACTGCAGGCAGGGTAGGGCTCCTCAGCACAGGCAGCATGAACTACAGAGGAGTCTCATCCAGCTCAGCAAGACCCAGCCGTGGCTGGAGCCCACCAGGGCAGTGTGGGGAGCTGGTGAGTTCACCACATCACAGGGGAACCCCCGAGGCCATTCTGTGAGCAGGACACAGGGCTTGATGTCCCTGGTGCTGAACCTGGTGTGGCAGGGTGGGTGCTGAGCACAAGGTGGTGGGATGGGTGCTGAGATGAGCCCTGTTCACCTCCATGCACAGCCCTGGGCTGAAGGGGAACATCCCACTGCCCAGCATCTCTGGGGGATGTCCCCACTGCCCCCTGGCCCAAGGCTCGGGGCAACATTCCCATTGCCTTATATCCTGTGACTTTGTGGGAACATGCCCTAAATGCCATGACCCAGGGACATTCCCATTGTACCACATCCCACGGATTAAGGTGGACATCCCTGCTGCCCTACATCCCGTGGCCTGATGGGGACATCTCTGTTGGCTGTTAGGGTTCAGTTATGATATCCCCACCGCCCCACGTCCCATGGCTTGGGGAGAGGTGCCATCTCTGCTGCCTCATATCACATGCCTTGGTGGGGACATCCCTGCTGCCCGGTGTCTCCGTGCTCACTGGGGATGTCCCTGCTGCCCCATGTGCCAGGGGGAACATCTCCACTCCCCTGTAACCCATGGCTTGGTGGGGATGTCCCCAGTGCTCCGGGTGGGAGATGATCCCACTGCCCTACAGCCCCACTCTGGCCATGGTGTGGCACAGCACAATCTGCTGCCACCTCAGAGCTGCAGGGCCGTGGTTTGGGGAGGATGCCATGGTGTGTCACCCTCACCCCGCTGTCCTGCCCGCAGAGTGAGCCCAGGCCCCGGGGTGGCCCCGAGCACTGACATGGCCGCAGGGGTCATCCAGCCCCTGGCTGAGCTGCGCCTGCCCTCGCCCTTCCCACACGGCCTCCTGCTGCCCACACACCCCGAGCCCGACTTCCACGACCTCTCCGAGGAGGAGGAGGAGGAGGAGGAAGAGGAGGAAGAAGAGGAGGAAGTGGAGGCAGCAGAGGAGAGCGTGAGGCCAGAGCCGGCTGCCTCCAGCACGGCCGAGACCACCCTGCGGCTCCTCAAGTTCTCGGAGCTCATCAGCTGCGACATCCAGCGCTACTTCGGGCGGCGGGGCCGGGAGGAGGCTGCCAGCACCCAGCCCGTGCCCAAGGACTGCGGGTCACCCCAGAGCGCCGGGGCTCAGCCCGAAGCCCCGCGGGGCAGCCCGGGGGCCGCGCACAGGCTGGGGCCGCTGGCCGAGCTCTTCGAGTACGGCGTGCACCGCTGCCTGTCCCCGCGGGCGGCCGGCGGCCGGACACAGCGGCTGGAGAGGAAGTACGGTCACATCACCCCCATGCACCGCAGGAAGCTGCCGCCCTCCTTCTGGAAGGAGCCAGGCCCCGCCGGCCTCCTCCACACCGGCACCCCCGACTTCAGCGACCTCCTGGCCAACTGGACGGTGGAGCCGGGGCCGGAGCTGCCGTGTGCCGGGCGGGAGCTGCCACTGGAGCCGGGCCGCCCGGGGCTGGAGGCCGAGCCCTTCACCGGGCTGTGACCCCACCGTGGCCTCGGGGGTCTCTGGTCCCGCCACGTGCCACTCGGTTAATGATAAATTTTGCCGCCCCGGTGCCAGCGCTGGGGCACCTGGAGCTGCCGGGTCGGAGCGGGTGGTGGGACGAGCGAATAAATGACTCCCACCAGGCACCAGCACGTGTGGTGTCCTTCGCCACCCGCCACTGCGGTGTCACTGCTGCCCGTGGACAAAGGGCCGTGGCTTGGCATGGCCCCCTGGGCCCGCGGGGAGCACGGTGCCGGCAGGAGCCAGCAGCCCGTGTTTACTCTGCGGCACAAGCCGGTGGATCCCATCGCTTATCTCGGCCACGCCGGGACAAAGGGCAGCGCGGGGCCTCATAAAGCACCCGGCTGCCAGCACCCAGTGGGGCCTGGGGACCCACCACTGCCTCGGGGACCCACTGCACCCCATGGCAGGGCCAGGGGTCTGGAGCCACGTGGGAGAGCAGAGCTGGTCCTTCCCCACGACCCCAGCACCAGACCTGGCTGTTACCAGGGCTCAGCCCAGGCATCCTCTGCTTTGTGGTGGCTCTTTGTTGGCCTTGAAAGGGGAAAGCACGCGGGAAGGGGCAGCCCCCAGTATGCAGCCCTCCCCCAGTTTCTGCCCTCCCCGTAGCAGCAGTGGGGACAGGGCTCAGCTCAGGCCCCAGAGGACACCGACAGAGGTGACACCGAGCCTGGGCAGCAGCCCCAGGGGAAGAAGGGGAGCAAGAGACAGGCAGCACCACAATAAAAGTACAAACAGACTTTATTTCAGCACAGATCCCACAGTTGAAAGCCCCTCCAGACACCAGGTTGCCCTGCCCAAGGGAGGAGGGGGCAATGCCAAAGGAGAGAAGGAGGGATGGGGGGAGTGAGGTGCCAGAGCTGGAGCTTTCCCCCTCACCCACAGGCTTTTGCTCCCTACCCCTGGCCAGATCCAGGGCTGGTGATGGGGTTTGGGGTGCCTGGCAGGGCCCAGACTGCTGGAAAGGGCCAGAACAAGGCCCAGGAGTGACTCCGGACACCAGTGTGGGAGGAGGGGAGAGGGAGCAGCAGTGGTGGCAGGAGGGCAGGAAGGGCAGGCTGTAGGACCAACAGGGCCCCAGGGCAGGCAGCCCATCCCTGCCCCAAACCCCAGGGATATCTCTCCACCCATGGGTTGGGGTCAGAGTGGCTGAGGGAGCCAAGAAAGAGCCAGAGGCAGCAGCTGCAGAACCATGGGAGCCCTTTTATTGCACAGCCAAGCAGAGCATGGCCCCCTCCTCTGGCCCAAGGGGCAAGGGAGGCAAAAACCTACCCCAGAGCTCAGCCTGACTCAGCCAGTACAGGGGTCAAAGGGAGCCTGGGGGCAGGAAGGAGTCCCATAATGTCCTCTCTGCTCCCACACAGAACCTGCAGCTGGGGCTAGGGCAGGGCTAGGTCCCAGACAGTCCAGGCATGGCAGAGGACTATGCCCAGCTCAGCAGGGCACTTCTGCTCCCCGTGGAACACTCCAGCCTTCACCCAACCCTCAGGGAGAGCCTATCCCAGGAACTAACGGAGCCAAGGGTGCGTTTTGATCCCTCGGAGAAGCAGAGGAAGGGGTGAGGAGGCAGTAGACACAGGAAGGCAGCAACGGGCAGGAGAGCCAGGGCAGCACGGCCGTGCCAGTGCTCCAGGCACTGCCTGCACAGCCTGGCCCTGTCCTCTCCCCACCTCCTTCCAAAAGGGGGTCCCCAGCCCTGAGGGGCCAGGGCCTGTCTCTGCTGGGCAGCACTGCATCACGTCTGTGCCAGCGACAGCTCCTCCAGGCCCTCCTTCCCCAGCCGGTACCTGGCCAGGTCCTTGCGGGTGACCATTCCCACCACCTGCCAGGAAAGGGGCAGGGCATGGCCTGAGCTGGGCACACAGAGCCTGGGCACAAGGGCAGCGTGTCCCTGTCTCCCCGAGGAGCTCAGGCTGCTGTGACACAGCGAGGGACTCACCTCGTTACGATTGTCCACGACCACCAAGTGCCGCAGTCCCAGGGCTCGGAAGAGCTTGAACACCCGTGGCAGAGACGCCTCCTGCAGGGCAGAGCAGGGCTGTGGGGCTGCAGCACCCCCAGCCAGCACCCACTGCCCTCCCAGGACCCCCGGGGTGCTGGGCAGAGGGGTCCTGGCCATTACCTGGGGCACAGTGTAGGGAGAGGGGTTCATGAACTCGCTGAGGTCGATCATGCACTCGCGCTCGTCCTGGGAGACATGGATGGACTGGATGGGGGGGAAGCGGGGGTAGGCATCCCGAAAATCCTTCAGCTTCAGCCGCCGCTGCACCAGGCTCAGGTTGGCCCTTTCCACAAACACCTTGGGAGGAAAGAGAGGGTTGAGGACCGTCCTGCAGAGCTCACAAGGCACCAGGACAACGCACAGGGGCCGGGAGGGAAGAGGGCAGGAGCATGGGGCAAATGGACCATTTGCAGCAGCACAGGCCATTTCCCCACTCACTTGGGGTTTGTGAGGCCAGTGGGGTGCAGGACAATGCTGGAATAACTCCAGCAGGGAACGGCAGCCCCCACCATCTCCTGAGGTAAGAGACAGGATGTGCACTGAAGGAGATGACAAGGATCCTCTTCCAGCTCCTCCCAAGCAAGGCAGGACACAAGGGGTCTGAGGCACCAGTGGGACATGGGCAGCAGGGTCCAGACATGACCCAAATACCCTCCACACAGCGTCACCCACCTTGTGCTTCAGCAGGACGATGAGCTGGGAACGCAGAATCAGACCCCGCAGTCCGGCCACCTGCGACACAGCACCGTGCGTGAGATGGGCTGGGAAGGTGGGGGTCCCACACTGCCTGTGGGGCCACCCCACAGCTGTGCCCCCTTCCCAAGTGGCACCCAGCCCACCTGTGTGGTGTCAGGGTTGCTCTCCACCACGGGGAAGCCGTTGTGGTTGGAGGAGGTGTCACTGAGGATGTCCACGACTGTGCCCACCCGCTCGATCCTCCGCAGGCAGGTGACAGGAGTGCTCATGACCTCCCTGCAGGGAAGGCTCCAGGTGAAACCCAGCCCCGGGGCAGCACACATGGAATCATGGAATCACAGAATGGCTTGGGCTCATTCCACCCCTGCCACGGGCAGGGACACCTTCCACCAGCCCAGGTTGCTCCAAGCCCCGTCCAACCTGGCCTTGGACACTTCCAGGGATGAGGCAGCCACAGCTTCTCTGGGCAACCTGTGCCACACCCTAAATATCCCCCCCAACACACACTCAGAACTCAGTGTTGATGTTCCTCTGTCCCTGAAACCTGACATGGAGAGGGGAAGGAATGCACTGCAGGCCACATCCCTTCCCTGCTGGAGAAGGAGCTGGGCTGATGGCACCAGGCTCCCAGGACCACCTCCATTCCCAGCTCAGGCCAACAGTGTGGTCCAAAAGCTGCTGCCACAGGAGTGACAAGCACCCCCCATCCCACCTACCTGGCCGTGAGGGAGTGGGATGTCACCGGAGCCTCCCAGTGCAGGAAGGGGACACTCTGCAGCTGGATGTGCATGTCATAGAGCCCCTGCAATGAGAGCCAAGCCATCAGGAGAAGCCTGGCGAGATGCCAAGGGGCACATTCAGGCAGCAGCTCATCCCTCAGAGTGAGCACATGCCTGTTCCTGGCCCCCCACGGCCCCCCAGCACCACCAAATCTGACCCACAGCCACCTCTTGTGAGGACACCGGCCCTTACCTCCACAAAATAGTCTCCCACAATCTTTGCAGTCATCAGCACCAGCATGATGGGGAAGCCATAGGTGACGTTGCCTGTTGCCTCCATCATGATGACCGTGAGGCTCAGTGTCATCCGCACGATCCCACCTGCCAGAGGCACCCGGGGGGTTGGGGTTTAGGAGGGCAGGGAAACATGGGGTAAAGGGACAGCAAAACACCTGAAACCCCTGACTCCTTGTGATCCAGGACTGCCCACACAGCCAGGGGTGCCCCAGAACTGCCTGTGCTTGGCAGGGGCATTAAGAAGTTGACAGCCAGGTTGGGGCTTCAGCTGAGGAAGAAGCTAAGCCAGGGAAGCAGGGATTGCTTTTTCCCACACCACCTTCACCCCAGACAAGACCATGCCATGGGGAACTCACCCAGCTGTGCAGCAGCTCCCATCAGGGCGTACTTCCCGGGGTCAGCCCAGATCTGAGCACAGGAGAGAAAAGGAGACCAGTCACCTGCTGGCTCCAGGGCACTGAGACAGTGAGCAGTGCCCTGGCCCTCAAACCCTCCTCTGAAGGTGGTGAGAGGTGCCTGAGGTTGCCTGCACGGCCCAGTTCCATCAGGGTTCCATCAGGATATGGGAAAGCCCAGACCCAGCTTATGAAGGCATCAAACAAGGAGCCAGCCCAATTCAGAGTCATGCCGAGCTCTTGGCCAGCTCCACGCCCTCCACCAGCCCAGCAGCCAGGGAGGAGGGCTGGGTGACACAGCTCACGCCCCCCAGCACCCCTTCAGCCCCAGGACTCACCGAGCCCTTGGTCAGGTAGGACAGGGAGATGCCGAAGAGCCTCCCCCAGGCCGCGCCGATCAGCAGCGAGGGGATGAACACCCCTGCGGACACCGTCAGGCCGTAGGTCCAGCAGGCCAGGAAGAAATACATCAGTGTGAACATGCCCAGAGTCATGGGGTTGTAGGAACCTGGGGGGGGCGACAGAATGGGGACTCAGTGCTGGTCCTGCAGCCCAGGGAACCCTGGGATGGTCTGTGGCCACAGGAGGACAGACAGAGCACCCTCATGCCACATTCCCAGCAGTGAGAGCCCTCCCTCTTGCCCTGGCAGCACAAGCCTTTCAAACTGGCTCTTCAGGTTATTTCTGTCCTCTCCAGGGCCCCAACACCAGCTGGGGCCATGCCAAGCCCTCCCGTCCCATTCCTCCATCTCTCGACCCGTGATGACCCATCCCCTCCCAGCCCCGAGGTTCCCAGCCGCCCGTGAGGCAGCTTGACAAACTTCAAAGCCCTGAGGGACCATCAGTGCTGGAGCACAAGGTCAGGAAGACAGAGGTCCCACTGCCAGCTTTGGGATCAACTCCACAGAGCAGGTCCTGCAAACCCCTCTCACCCTGCAGCTCCCACGGCTGCTCCAGCCAGTCCCAGGCTGCCCCACAGAACGGGCTGTGCCATCCTAGTGGAGGCCCTGCTGA